GTGAAGAGCAGGCGACTGACAATGTGAGCCACGCTAGCGCCCGATGACCACGGTGTTAGCTCGCTCGAGTGGACCGTCAAGCTAGCTCTCAGGTTAGCAGTCAGGAGAGACGGGGTTTCTAAGAAGGAAGGAGGGTGACCCCTCTGTGACACAAGCATCACGACTGCCAGCCGATCCTGGCTGGAGCAATGATGTAGAAGCTTCAGAGACGACGCTGAGAGAGCGCTCCCCGTAGTGAGACACCGAAGCGAATGTTTGAAAGAGAACTCACAATATTTGCACATCTGATTTAAAAATGTGTGCTTGACTTTCTGATTCTGCCTCTCTGCTGCTAAAATTACTGTATGACGTGACACGAGTCTGTCAGTGTGTGCCTTTCGCTTCTTTCCAGCGTTACAGAGATCAGAGAATGTGCTTGACAAAGATTTTACTCTGATGCTTCAGAAACACCCTCCACTTATCACCGTTCTTTATTTGGCTTGATAGGAGCTAATTTAAATATAGATTTTACTGTGCAACGAAGACCTAAACGACGCAGCATTAACGCCGTGGAAGGTGAACAGAGCTCTGAGTTGTTCTCACCTTTTGTTTGAGTCGGCAGAGAAACGGGACGAGTGAGCGTGAGACTGGGACGGCGCTCTGCAGGCAGCGACCACAAAGAGACAAATTCAATAGAAGAGAACTTTGTGGCTGCATTTCCTCTGCTCTCCTTTAGAAATGTCAAACACCCACATAAGCCTGTCAGCCCGTACCCCCTGCACACACACACCACACCACTCTGTTGGCAATGCTACGGGCTTCTGTGTAAATGATCTCAAAATTATCTTCCCACTCACACTATCTCTGCTCTCAGCATGTGTGAGAGTGCTCAAAGCAAGCGGAGTAATAATGGGATCCAGTCTATACCTTTTCATGACCGCCATTGCGCTCATCTTTACCGTTTAGCCTGTCATCGCCGCCGTCCTCCGCCACCAGAAGCCATTCAGAGCAGCTCGGCAGCGGTTTTCTTTTCTCTTTTCATAATGGAGCATTGTTGTATTAATTCCACTTATAGTGCCTGACCTGGGTGCAGTTTTACAGTCGGGTTCGTTAGTATTTGGACAGCGACGCACGGTGTGTCGTTTGGCTCTGTTAACCACACAGGATCAAGACGTGATTGAAGTGCAGACGTTCAGCTTTGATTCAGCAAGTGTTGCTTTAACTGTTTCCATCCATAGTTACTCATATTCAGGCACTCAAAAGCAAACTGGATCATTTTAAATGTAAAGAGCAGGATTATCAGTGGATGTATCAGCTCAGTAGTGGACAGGATCACCTTTCAGAACATGCATCATGCACTAGATTTTCTGTCTAATATTGAGTTAAATTTTGGCGCTTCAGTAGTAATCCTGTGACAAGTATTCTCCTTGTTTTTAATGTATTTGAATCTGGTGTCACCCTGCCAGTGCAGTAGTCATAACACGCCCACAGCAATAACGCCACGTGCACGCTGCAGCGTATGTGGGAGCTTCGACATCAGGTGTCTTTTCTCTTTGATCTTTATGTCTCTCTCCTTTATTTTCTCCAAGATGTGGCTAATGGCGGTACCGGCTACAGGCCCCCTCCCAGGACTAAGGAGGTGGTCATCAACGGCCAGACAGTCAAGCTGAAGTATTGCTTCACCTGCAAGATCTTCAGACCACCGCGTGCCTCCCATTGCAGCCTCTGTGACAACTGTGTGGGTGAGTGGCAGTTATGCTGTGTGCAGATTAGGACTTTGGGATTTGGAGTGTCGAGACCAAGCCTGGGGCGTCTATTCGCTCTCTATCCACTTCCTGGGTTATATTTATTTAAAGGTCAGTGAGGTCAGAAACAAGCTTTTATTCATCCAAGAATCAGGAAGTTCTTA